TTAAAGTTTGTGTTTTAAAATATTCATTTGCGCAGTAAATCATTTATTTTTCTAACCTTTTTTTTTTGTTTTACATCATAAACAAATACTTGTAAGATGAAACATTTGATCTTGCCCAAATATTAAGGAGTCGAAGATCCAACATATGATCTTCCGGAATAAATTAATTTTTATTTTAATATTCTGTGTAAACAATGTAATATTCTGGGTAAACATTATAGTTTGTAAACAATTTTTTTAATTTATTTTCTATGCAAAAAATGTAACAAATTTCAATTATTAAAAAGAATAATCTATATTACCCCTCGGTTTTATTTTAAACCGAGATGTATAAGGCACTAGTTTTCTAAATAATAAAAATGGAGATGTTGGGGTTCAAACACATGTGCAAATTAATTTACCCCTCGGTGTTTAAAAAATCGAGGTTATAAGTCGTTACTTTTCATGACGCCCTTCGTTACCTCGTTACTGCAGCTGAGGTAGCATGCATTTCGCGTCCGACGTTAAAAACACTTTTTGTAGTATTGATTCCTAATATTAGGATTTATCTTTGTGTTTTTGTTGTGCACCACTCTAGAGCTTTCATTCATATCATAAAGCATCAAGTTTGGTTCTTTAGTTGAGTTATTTCAACATTAATATTATGTTTTATTGAGTTGATCACTTGAGATTAAAGATTGAGAAAAAGTGAAAGGGGATTCTCATATATAGAGGGAGTCCTAAATAGAAATACATTGAGGATAAAATTAAGAAGAGGGGCATTGAGTAAGGGATTTGTTCGCCTAAGACACTTTGTACTAATTCTATTAAAGGGTGCATTTCCTTTGTTGGGTAGAGTACCCTCAAACGCAGGTGTGGTTTTATCAAACTAGGTTAATAATTCTTTGTGTTCTTTATTACTTTAACTTTTATTTGCTATCTATCTTACAAAATTGGTTTTTTCTGGTATACAATGTCCCAAACATCATCTTGTGACATTTGTCCCTAGAATATGTCATTTGTCAGCCAGTTATATATGTTGTCATAGGCATTTGGTTCAACATTTGTCCTCGTGATAATAGAATTTCATCACCTACGAAGTTTCTTTCCACCGTAGGTTCTGCGATCTCCTCCATTATTGGTTCCATAACAGAACACCAGGATTTGAACTAGTTCGGCATTAAACTATATGGCCTAATCCAATTCCTAAGAGTTTGCCCTTGATAAGAATAGTAAATTACACAACTCTTACTTTAAACATTTATTTCTCTCAGCATTAAGATAATAACAAGTGTATAAAAGCATATTATATGAAGAGGGTGAGTGAGAAAGAGGAGTAGTAAATCAGATTTTCGTGCTTTGAAATACTTCACTAGACTACTTTATATAGGAGAAAAAGTTTGGCTCAAAAAAGAAATAAGTCATGGTCTCTAGCCTCTCTCAAATCGATTAGCTTACGACGTTAATCGATTATATATAGTGAATATGGAAATAACTTAGCAAGGTTCGCAACCTAATTGATTAAAAGGGTTCCTAATCAATTAGGTGGTGAGTTTTCTTCTTATTGATTAGATACAAGTTCTAAACGATTAGAGAGCGATATTTTTCTTTCCTAATTGGTTAGGATGCTTCCTAATCGATTAGTCAGAGGCCAAAACTGGTCTTAAGAATGATTTCAAAGTAAATGAAGTTTTGCAAGTCACTTTAAGTGAAAGTGTGCAATTCCTTAGTAATTTGAGAGATACCTTTGCTCATGTACACACTAATGATCCAAAATAGATAAAATAAATAAATCAGAGAATCAGGTGGACTTTCACAACATTAGTTCCTTTTGATATTGATCTTTGGATTTTACTATCTTTGCTTTCAAGACTGGAACCTTCTTAGCGTCACTTTTTAATAACTTCAATCTCTTTGATGATGCTTATGATTAATTTTCCTTTTCTCTTTTTTCAAAATAAAACCCATATCCGGTAACATCATTACATGCACAACACATAGAACCACAAGAGGAACCACTCAAAATCTAGATGCTAACTTAACAACTATTTAGGCAATATTGAATAATAGCCTAATATGACCACCATATCATGAAAAAGTAATCAGGATAGTGAAGTTGTTGAAGAGAAATGAAAAGATCCCAAAGAAGAAATGCCTTCTAAAATGAAGACAAAGTTGCAAGCAACTTGAAAGAAAAAAGGAAATCCTTTCAAAGGCCCCCGCATCAGAAGTCAAATTTATTTTATGGCAACCCATATGTTATATTGAAAAATCAATTAGTTATAACCTTTCTTTTCGATTAGCCCTTGACCAGATGAAAATTTAGAGACCCATATTTTAATTACCAAAGATGGTACGAGAACATCTATTTTCTATTAGCCCTCAACAAGCTCAAGAGTTTCCCAAAGCATTCCACCTTCTCCTTTGGACAATAAGCCGAGAGAGGGGGAAATAAAGTTCATTCATTGGTTAGAGAAATCCCTTTTGAGAAGATACACAAAAAATTACATCAAGAGTCATACAATATCGAGAAAATAAAAGCATGTGACCCAATGGAGGTCGTAATAGTTGCATAAAGAAAGTAGGGATATAAACCCAAAAAAAAAAAAGCAATATATAATAGGGATACCGAGTTAATGCACAACGCACCCATACGACAAAACAATTGATAAATAGGGAAACCATGTACATATACCATAACTCCAGCAAATGTAATTCTTCATTCAATTCTCTCATTCTGAATTGTTTTGAAATAATCCATATTGTCGGTTTGGAGTTGGAATCCAAAGTTTAGATAGAGGATTTAAGCAATGGCATTGTCAAAACTCTAGAGACCGACCTCAAGTATTTTGTCACGACTTCATTATAATCCTTCGTTAGTTTCTCATTCTTTGTAGTAAGGAACATGATTTTATCTTCAAAGTTGCGAGTATGTTTATGGATGAACAATGTTCATTTAGTAATAATTTTTTTCGTGAAAATAGGATGTCCGACTAACTTATAGTCGAATCCATGATTATGTACAATGCTCAACATATTAAATGTCCAAAAAAAATTTTGATTTGTGGTAACCGTGCAACTTAAAACGACACTCACATTTTCTTATTTCGGTGTCATCACGTTTTAACTTTTAGATAGGTTCCTTATATTGACCACTTTTTTCACATCTCATTCTAGTAAATGTCAGTCTTCAATCAGAACAAGAATCAAGCCTCCCAATTATTATTCCAAAACCTACTTTGGAAGCTTCAGCACAGATTCATTTAAGCATATGATCATGTAGCATAAACTCTTGTTCAGTGTTAAAGTTTTATTAACATCAACGTATACAACACCAGGTAGAGGAACTCCTGACACATTATCCTCTAATGCATTAGTATAGTTGACAACATCGTGGTGCATTATATCTACAACCATTTAAAATATACAGAATTCAAGCAACCAATTCACATGTTTGGAAATTAACATCCGCACGAAGTTTAAAAGACTTCAGATGATATCTTCCAGACAACTTCCTCAATGCATAAAAAAAACATATTATGAATCAATGAAAATAGATACAAATGTACATTAGTTGTAATTTAGGGTCATTATGAGGTTTATGATTTTGATATTCTCCCTCTGTTCCATAATGAATGACTCATTTAGAATAAAAGTGTTCTAAAATTAATGATCTATTTTAATTTCTAATGCATCTTTTTCAATTTTACCTTCTAATTGATATTACTTTTATCATTCGCAATACATGATAATGGTACTTTATTAAACATATTATTCTCTCTTTTTCAATTATTTTTTTTTTTTATCTGTTTGAAATAGTTAACCAAATCACTCATTGTAGGACGGAATACATTTTAATCGTGTTACAAAACATAATAATTGAATAAAGAAAAATTCTTTATAAGTGATTTAATGAAATAAGAGATAGGATCTTGAGTGAGACGAGTTAAGAAATTAATCATGTAAAAGAAATATTACAATACATAAGTTAACATCCAAACTATGTTACTCTGTGTTCGGAAGATAAATTTCGAACTTATAGTTACATACACCTTTTCTCATTCCAAAAAGCAAACAATTGGTTGACTGATTAAGATCATCCAAAAGATAACTTTTAGATATAACATGAACATCTTTTTTCTAAATTTGCATAAAATAAAATATAAAATAAAAAACATAGTGTAATGAACAATCTCCAAAAATACATTCATCCAAAAGATAACTTTTAAATATAACAAGAACTTTTTTTTGAATTTTCATAGAATTTATAAAAAAAAAAACATATAGTTTAATGAACAATCTCCAAAAATACAGTGATATTGTTTCAGCCTGCCCAACTCAAATGGAATGACGGTGATTTTGAAAAAGAATGGAAAGAATCCAACTACAAAGTTTAAAATACAATGGATGAATTTTTGCAGGAATAATGATTATCAATTTAGACAGACTGAAACGCTAAAATTAGCATAACTTTGCTATTGTTAAAAAGATATAAGTCCTATTTGAATTTGTGTATTTGAGTTTTTTTTTTTTTTTTACAACTTATTTAAACTTATCTACTAAAATAAGTTGTGACATTTTTTAGCCCAGATATTTTTCATAAACTTTTTTTAACTTAATTTTATAAGTTCTTCAAGATATTTTATAAAAATAACTTATAGCATATATATAAACCATTTAAATTTATTTTATCTATTGTTATAAAAATTGATTATACAAACTTATTCATAAACAGTTATTTTAATAAGCACTTACACAATAAGTTGCAAATAAGCTGTTTAGTACGGATATGTTACTGGTTTAGAATAAAATAAACCAAAACATATGAATTCTATTTTTATATGTGTGTATAATAAATAGGTTGCAAGTAAATCAGGACATTGACACGAATTAACAAAATGTCTCTCTCCCCCACTCACACACATGACATACAAAAGTTACAATTATTTCATTTTCTGGTGTAAAATGCTAGAAATTATTGTTGTTTCAAAACATCAAAAATAAATTCTGCAAAACATACATTATGCCTTCTTCTTCTTGGATTTGAGCATCACGAATCCAATAAATATGCATAAGAGGCAAAGAAGAGCCACACAAGCAGAAACTGGTATTAGTATGGCATATTCTTGGGGTAAGAAATACTTGTGTACGAAATGATCACCGTCTACAAATGGCTGAAAGAGCACAAAATCGATAAACTTATCAAAAAGTTAAAATCAGAAAGCCATAATTCATTTGAAGTACTAGACATGTTACTAACCAGGATGATAACCCAGAAAGTATAATAAGTGAATATCGATAAGCTTATAATGGACAATAGAAATCCAACTGCTCTGTCTGCTACCTCCATTTTAAATCCTTTTGTTTTTGCTTCCTGTTGACAACAAAACAAACGGATGACTGTTGGGGTTCACATTATTAGAAAGTAGAAACAAACTCAGCAAAATATTGGTAGCATGTTTGAAACAAATATATTCTTAGAGTCGGCAACGAGCTGAAAGGAATGCAAAATCTCATGAGTTGGATGTAAAAAAAACTGAAGTAATGCAAAAATTTACTGAAAAGAAAATGCATCCCATTGGATTATGATAAGAAAAGTGTGCGTTATAAAGTTAAGAACAATTAGCAATTAAATATATATACATCATATTTATTATTCAAAAATAAGAAATTAAAATATATTTTCCTGATAAAAAATAACAACAAATTGATTGATGTCAAGGTAAAGGAGATCTTCAGAAGTTTTATCAGAAATTCAGCTAGAATAAAGCCATAATATTGAGACTGACAGAGTGTCAGGGTTCAATTCAACAAATAAAACTAAACCGAACCTAACCAGAAACAAGTTCAGTTGAACCAAACTGAAATGATTTTTTGAATAGTTGAAACAGGTTTAAATTGTTAAGACTCTGGTTTAGAAACTGGTTCCTGAACAGGTTTAAACAGTTCAAAAACTGCTTGATTATTTGGTTCTTATTCGATCAATTTCACTAATAACAGACTCAAAAAATAAGCAGCAAATGACAATGAGAATATGAATCAGTTGTTTTGGTTCTGTGTAGTGTATAATATTAACTTAAGTGCCTTTATTTTCATTCAGTCATATCTTAGGAGAGAAACAGATTACCTTTTTTTTATTTTTATGAACAGGAACTATCGGTTTGAGATTATATTTCACTGTCCGTTTTACAAATTCATTTTTGCACAAGCCATCTTCACAAGACAGAGATTCCCGTGAGATTATATTGCAAGTTCCTATCAAGTTCACTCTGGTAGTGTATAAGTATCACATTATTGTCGCTAGATAATGGTGTCGTCCATCATCATTGACAATAGTTGGGTACAGACCATGACAGTGGCAAATTGATGATCTATCTCATTTGCTACTGATTGACTTTTGTTTACTATTTGAAGTTGACTGCAAATGGACAAATGTTTTAAAATTTACCTATTTTCCACCCATTTGAACTGAGACAAGAATTTTAACCTATCCGAGATAAAGACTAATATCTAGCTACTTTAGCAAAAACTGAAGTAGGACAAGGTGAGTAAAGTGCAGCCCTTCAAATTAGTGGGATTGGTAGCTGCTGCTATATATAATATGGGGTATAATATGATTGATCTTATTGAGAATTCTTATGTCAATGTAAGAAAAGACAGAAGGATAAATAAAAACAGAGAACAGAATGTACATCACAATAACCATCCTTTTTATTATATCGCAAGCCAAGATAACAAAGGAAACAAAAGACACAACGGCAAAGAGAGTAAACTAGTCGACTTAGTGTGCTTTGATACAATATCATTGCAAGTTCATGAAAAAAGGCATTAACATAATACATGTCACTTTAACAATTACATCTCTGCATAACACCAACCCTTTTCTAATAAACTATACTTAATTCAAACCGAAACTAAAACCCTATGAACATAAAAATTTAAAACCAACAATGAATGTATCATAACTCATCAAAATAAGCTACAGTTCAGTAATAAAACCAACAAAAAACTCAAAAATACTTGGAAAAAGGCAGTAGTTACAAGTTAAATGAGCATAATATTAATATCAGTATTGTGAAATAATTTATAAGGCGTTAATCAATTCCATCAAATAGATTATGAAATTGGAACAAATCAGGCTAAGTGAAAGCAAAGGCAACGATGCATACAAGAAATTCGAAGCAGAGCTAAGTGAAATGGGATACATTATCAAGTTTAATCCTTCACCCAGGGTTTCACATAGAGGTACGACCATGATTGAGGACGCATTGGCCAACTTTGACCGTGATTCTACATAATATCAAGGATCCTGATGCAGACGCAACAGTTACCATGACCACTATCAAAAAAAACCCTGCCTTTACCTAAACTATACATTTTTGGTTCAGATTAATCATATTTGAATCCACTCAGCTGAACCAAAAGCAAGTGACCAATCAATAAACTTACCTATTTGTACAAGATACCAATTTTAAATTCTCGCTTCAAAAAACCACATCAGTTTTTGAAATTTTGTTTGTGGCAATGAGCATGGTGAGCACAAAACCCTAATCTATGAAGTAGAACCGTAAAATCATATTTGATAGACAGTTTTCAATATATAAACATTACAAGAAAACTAATCAAATTCGTTAATCAGACCAATTTAGCGTGCAATCGCGGAATCGTAGATCGCATTGGAATGAAATCTCATGCGCATTACAGGAAAGGGGAAGGAAATTCGAGAAAAGTAATGAATTGAAAGATATCGACGGGATTTCTTACTGTTTCTGGCGGCCGACGAACAACTCCGGCAGTTTTTCCGGCAGGCTATTGGTTTTTACGACTTGCTCGAGTTCAGTGGTGGGACACCAACTTGTTTCCGATACTACAGGGACAAAGTAGTAATTTCGTTGTTTTGCTGAAGCTTGTTGAGATTTGAATTCTTGATGGTGGGCTCTGCAAAAGAAAGTAGAGTGGGCGTTGGATTAGATGGCAGGGAATTTCTTAATGTTGGATTAGATGGTAGGGAATTTCTTAATGCATTTTATATGTTATTTATATATCGCACAAAAATATTAAAATGTTTTTTAAATTATTTTAGAGATGAATTTTTGGACGTATTCAATACACAAAGCCGTTTTGAGTGATGTCTTATTAGTTAGAGTTTTTTTAATATCGAAAATGTATCTTCTGTATATTTTCGTATATGCATTTTTGTAACGTATACATAGTAGTAGTAGAGGCAGAAGGCAAAAACTTTTAATTTGACAAAATAAAATTAACATTCATAAAATAAAATAAACATTACGTCAATATTCTGGTGGACACTTCAACATCTTCACAATATCTTCGACCGATCTTGAAATCGTCGCTTCCAACTCGAGCGGAACTTTTATTTCGAAATAAAAATATGCATTTCACATAGTCCTTACATCTGCATCTGTCTTGAACTCAAAGTTGTTGAACTCAATCTTTCTTCTATTGTCAATCGGCGATGAACAGTACTCGAGCTTCACAATTCTTCGATTGTCTCCGTAAGGTAGGAGATTATGGATTTCATATTTAATAGCTGCAAGAGATGTTTACTCGTTGAGCTTAAAGTTTCGCTCGGGTGTCGCGCTGGAGAAAGAGACATTTGTGTACTAAATGATGTTTATTTGTGACATTTGAGACATTTTCCATTTGTGTGAAATAGAAAACAAGAGTACCTTAATTTATAGAAGTTGTAGACAAATGTGGACCATTCAAAATCTGACATGTTGATTTCGGAGATATATCTCCGATTTTGCATCCTATTATCTTGTTCCAGAGAAGCATCTCCGGAAACACTCTTGAACAGGCAGAAATCATAACCTTTGAAAACAAAAGCTTTGGAAACATAACCTTTTTTTTACAAATGAACAAATATTATGGGAAAGATAAAAAAATATATTAAAATATTAAGATATAATATGAAATTTTGAATATATTATATTTTATTAATATTGAGACACAATTGCATACACTTATTTGTCCGGCTAAACAGAAAATTAAAACGAATTGAAACATTCGTCGCCGGCTAAATTTATGGTTGGTACTCCCTTTGACTTTTGTGCATTTGATTCTCTTTCAATGTTGCTCAATTTCTCGAACTCTTGTATCCTTTCCATAAAATGGTCTTGCCAAATCTCGGTTTTTATTGTTGAATCAGTCGTCCACTTCAGTTATGTAAGTGGTATAGAGTATTCTGATTTTAAGTAAATTTGAACAAAATGTTGTGATTTTTGAAGTCTCCCAATATACATAATACGATCTTTTGAATTTTGAGGTGGGACAGTGTCTATTGGGGAAAAGGTTTCTGAAAAACCATATGAGGTGACCCATTTCAGAGAATCGCATCCATTTAGCCTTGGGTGTCGGCCCACTAATGCAAAGAACAAGAAACTCATAAATTGCATCAAAGCTTTCTTTATTTCCGTAAATTCGTGTGTATGATTCTTTATGATTCCTCAACTCATGGATAAGTTAATGGCGGACAAGTGTATGATTATCTTCTTTACCGAATAAACTCGAAACAGCTCGATAATCGTAATTACCGTCACTCTCAACATTGACGGTCCGTCCAATGTATTTGTGCATAAAAAGCGGTATCTCGTCAATGAATGGAATCTTTGGCAAAAACGGCGAAGGAGGTGGTTTACTAATGTGAGCTCCTTTAAGAACACTTTTTTTAAGATTTTGGAGTTGGTGAGTCGGGAAAAATCTTGTCAACATGTTCAAAATATGAAGGAGTCGTCGAATTGTCATTCGGTGTAGGCTTGAGCTTCTTTGAAGAACTTCTTGTTTTTATCGGTTAAGAGGGTGGTTCACCTCGAGACGAGTTATTAATAAAAAACCATGAGACCTCCCCCTTCCTCATTTTCTTAGGAGCATTTTTTGTTTTTATCGGTTAAGAGGGTGGTTCACCTCGAGACGAGTTATTAATAAAAAAACATGAGACCTCCCCCTTCCTCATTTTTTGCATACTCTCTCAAACTCCCAAACTCTCTCAATTCAATTCCAAGTTTCTAACTTCAATATCCAATCAATCAAAATTCTCAACATTAAACTCACATTTGGTAAGTTTTTGAATCCAAGTTTTTCACATTTGATTTCTCTTTACATGCATTTATATAAACTGTGCATTAGGTTGTGTAATGCACATCAATATATATGTAGTATAAGTGAGCAGTGTGTTAAATATGTAGTTTATATAAGAAATGTGTTTTGAGCATGTTTGGTTTCCATGCATTTCTGACATTTGCGTTTTTATAGTTGCGAGTTAATACGGAAATGCACTTCCGTATCTGTTCAAAATTTGATTTTCCATAAATACGGAAGTACATTCAC